CACCACTTCAGCAGGGTCCTGGCTTTCTGTGGAACTCTTGCCAAACAGTCTTGGCCTTGATCTTACCTTGCAAAGGTCTGGAGAGATCTTAGTTTGAAGTAGTACTGGTGAATTTATGCAATCTAGGTCCAGTTAAACTAGAAATCCAGAAGCAACTTTACTGCTACCTGCCCCCATAATTATATACTGACCGGCAGCTGCCACTGCCTACATAATTTTGCTGCTCTGTGGGATAGGACAGGAGCACAGCAGTGGCACTTCCTCTTTGAAATGTACAAGAGCCCCAGCATTTCAAAGACTGAAACACCACATGGAGCCCAGGGCCAGCGGGGAATCCCCCACTGACCCTAGGCTCCACGCGGCTTCCAGCTTTGAAATGCTTGAGCCCCCCTGCTGGTGCTTCTGTACATTTCAAATGTGGAACGTGCGCTAGTCTTTATCGACTAATCGAATAGTCAATGGAAATCCCATCGACTATACGATTAGTTTATTAATTAATAGTTAACATCCCTAGTCTAAATCTAAGCAGTTTCTTCTTTAAAAAAACCAAACCTATTAGAGGGTCATTTACTCCCTTCCCCAACAAATGCTCCGGTCTCTCTCTACCACCAAATTACACAGATTTCAGGTTTCTTGACAAATAAGATTTAGTCCTGGTCCAGTGACAGATTTTAGGCCCAGTATTTCATGATCATGCCGGGCTTTAAACTACATTGTTGCACTATAGGAAATAGGAGGGACATCCCTTTCCAAATGGACTCCATAAGCAACAGCGTTTATCCCCAAAAGGTGCCAAGATATCAGAATAAAACACTGACATTTTTATGCCCATTAAAAATATCTTGAGTAAATTCAGCATTTCTAAATTAGTGGTTATATTTTCTGTCTCTTTCTGCAAGCTGAATCATGATACCAACACAGCTGACTTTGCAGGTGAAATGTTACATATTTGCATTCAACAATCATAACAGAGCTGTCTCAAACATCAGTAAAACAGTTTTCCTGTCAGTTAAATAGCATATACACCACATATAGAATGACGTGGTATATGAAGCTTTTGTAAACTTTCATAAGGGATGACCTGCATAATTCACTCCTGGTCTTGCTATGTATAGCAACAGATCTTTATTTTCCCACCATCATATTTATTCCTTTATACACAAATGTGCATACACAGACACACACTCTAGACATTCTTACTTGTCACCGTCTAGTAATGTTGTCTATATTTAAAAAATATGTTAAAGGGGAGGGAGAATTTAAATCAAAAGGTCACACAATGATTTAATGGTCTCTTCTATATTAAACTCTATTAAACTTCTAAAATCTGGGACTCTCTGGTCCAGCAACAGATATTGCTGGACCAGGGAGCTCTGGCTGGACAGGTTCAGAAGTGCAGCCTGGGCTGGGCTGGTGGTGGGGAGCACAGCCGTGGCCAGGGCTAGCCGCAAGGAACGCAGCCCCAGATGGGGCTAGAGACAGCAGGGCTGGCCACTGTTCAGGGCTGGCAGGGTGGGGGATACAGCCCTGGTGAGGGCTGGCACGGTGCAGGGCTGGAGGAAGCGGCAGGCAACAGGGTGCACAGTCCCAGCTGGGAGCAGAGTCTACAGCCAGATAGGGAGCTTGACCTACCCTGGTCCAGCAAACTCTGTGGTTTGGGACCACTCAAGGTCCTGAAGGTGCTGGGTGAGGGAGGTCCAACCTGTAGCTCAAACAAATATAACCCCTGAAGATTTTTTTTTAATTATACAGAAGACTACATCATAAGAAAAATCATTAGTAAATTTTCTACATTTGGCAAGATGTAGGACCATGATAGTAGTTGTGTATTAGAAATGGCAAGTAGATGATACTGAACATTGCAGACACACAAAGTCATCACAGTCATACGTGTTTTATATAGCAGAAGTAATCTGCAAACCCATACGAAGACTAAAAGACTGTTCAAACCTGGAGCAAGCAAAACTTGATAAATGTTAATCCAGCTGAGAAATGTCAAAATAGCTGAAGTCAAAATAACTGAGGAATTACACATGCTGGTGAGCGAACAAAACCAAGCCATAGACACAAAGATGAAATGCCAGATTGCCCATGGCTTATTATCTGGATGATTAATGGACAGCTTGAGACTTATTTTGATTCCTAAGAGCCCTGTATAGCTCAGAAGCAACCATGCTGATTCCCCTGGGATATAATCCTGGCAATGAAGTAGAAGAAATGCTTACCTTTGGCCGCAACTGAGCCAGTTGCTACAGTGAATTGTCATCCTGGTATCAAAATCATCTACTTGTAGTGCCACGGGTGTCAAACTTCAATTCACATCTTCTCCAAGCTGATGCTTTAATAGAGATCCTAGGTAAAAGAATATACATAAGGACCTTCAATTTGTACAGGAGACATTGATAAGTATCCCCACCTGAGCCCGCAGAGGAAAAAGCAGCAGCTTTCTGTACTACTTTTGGCATCAACTGTTTTGTTGTGATGTTAGTTCAGATGGAGTATCCAGAACCTTCTAAACATGTATGAAAATTACACAATGCAGGGTTGTGAATGGTTCATAGATACACTTCAGAAAATGGCCGTTATTCTGAAATAACTTTGCTGTGTAAAAACACACCCTTAGTGATGGTCACCAGTGTACATTTTTGAGTAAACATAATTTATTAAGATGTCCTTTAATTGTAAAAAGTATGGAAAGCATACCAAATACTGATTGGACAAAAATCTTATCAAGCATTGTATTTATGGAGTAAATTCTGAAGGGGTCTTCAATGTATATGATAAACATTGTAAATGTTCTTGTTTGGGTTTATATATAATATGCGTACATACATTTGTATAAGATTATACTATTTCTTTAAAAAGGAGAAATGCACATCTTAATTAAGCAAACAACTTTCATTTTTCTTCCCAACCACTCTTCTTCCTGTTCTATCCCTTCAAATTGCTGCTAGGACCTTGAACAGAGGCTTAAAGCATACATCGATATAATTACCATCTAGCTTCATAGTGATACCTGGACAGTCTGCTTTTTCTAGTTATATTCCATTTTTTTCCAGTTTCCCAAATCGCAAAAGCCAAAGATTCCCCAGGGAGACAGGAGTTGACAGCTACATTTTTCACCCAGTCACTGCTCTGGTTTGAAACTACGTAAATATTACATTTTACCCTTTTTCTATGCAGCAGTGGCTCTGATCTTCAGAGCGAAGCACTGTAAGCAGCAGTGTGCTAAATACACTGCAGTTTTTCAAGAAAAAGGCTTGCAGGAACATCACTGCTGTAGTAATCTTAATTTCTGTTCTTTGCATAGAAAAGTGTTGATTCTGTGGCTTTGCAAATTTTATTACTGCATGTCAGATTAAGGACAGGTCTATAGGGCTATGTCTACACTGTACGCTTATTTCAAAATAACTCATGTTATTTAAAAATAACAGACTTCTTACTCCGACTTCTGTAACCCTTATTTCAGTAGGATTAAGGGAAGTTGAAGGAAGAGTGTTCTTCCTTCGACTTCCTGCTGTTTAGACAGCGCCAAAAGTTGAGTTAAGATACTTTGACTTCAGCTACACAATTAACATAGCTGACGTTGTGTATCTTAACTCAACCTTAGCCCGCAGTGTAGACATACTCTAATAGCTCCAGGAGGTCAGCTTAAGGTATGCAACTCCAACTACTTAAACAGTGTAGCTGGAATTGACGTACCAAAAGATGAGTTTGGTGCCATCTCCACAGTGGGAGGTCGACAGGAGCAAATGGTCCTTACTCCTTGTGAATTGAGAAGTACCGGTGCCAACTGGGGCACCCTCAGAGTTTGATTTAGTGGGTCCTTACTAGACCCACTTAATCGAATGCCAGAAGATCGATCTCTGGCACAATAAGTATAAACATGGCCTAAGACCTGATTCCATATGATCTTTGGGTGGCATTGGCATTACCATAAAGCATCACACATCAGTTCCATTGTCCACCCAGTATCTACTTTGCTTAACTTTTGTAAAAAGCACATTTTCTGAATGACTAGTATTTTCCTTTAGTCATTAATATTCAAACTGTACCTTTATACATAATTTGCAGACTTTGAGCAAAAACAAAGGGGGAAAATTTATTCCCAGATTTCAAATTTCTTTGCAGTGTTGATACAAGAGCAAGAGGCAGTTTATACCAGAGCAAGCAGATGTTGAATATCAGTTTATTCTATTGAGTCCATGTTACTAAAAAGGAGATTAAAGACTAAAGCCTCCATCCTGCAACATATCCTATATGGGAATATATTTATTTTATATATGTATCCTACATATGCTGCAGAATCAGGAGAACTTCGGTGTTTTACAGTTAAACAGTTTTTTCTATTTCCCAGATCTCTTTGGGCATGATTCTCAAATGTGCCATGTGCCAGCAGCTCTAGATGAAATTGAAGGGAGTTGAGAGTGCTTGGTACTTTTGAAAACCAGGCCTTTGTTTTTTGTCTTATTTTTTTCATAGCCTAGATCTGTAAGTAACAACTCTGTCTGTGTTTCATATAAGCTTTTCCACTATAAGAAGATTTCATACTCTCCTGAACCCTAAAGATATTTATCATTAGAAGAGAGAAAATGAAGTCCCCACCTTTTCCAAAATTCTGTCAGAGTGTACCTTGATGCTATCACAAAAAGCAAGCATATACAAGGTAAGCATTAAGCTTACAAAAGAGAGAGAGAGAAAGGCATGCACACACTTTATTTAAATGACAAAATCCTAACCATGAAAATAAATAAGATACATACATGAGGTAGCCCAAATGATAGCCCTGTTGTCCCATTAATCATATTTAACGTAAACGCCTAATAATGTTATCTTTGGTCCCAGCTTTGGCAGCCTATAATTTAACAGAGGCACTTTTTCCACAGTGTGGATCAGGTACTAGCGCTGTCTCTTTCAACTCTTTTGTGCACCTAAATTAGAAAACCCAAATGTCATTTTCTTCAGACATGAAAGACACTCAAGGTCACTGCAAAATAATAGAGCAATTAACTTTCCAAGTAAATTACGGCAGAATAGTGAAATATAGTACTTTGTGAAGTGGGTGAAAAACTAAAACTGTTCTTACAAGTGACATCTGTTGTTCAGACTAAATGATAAATGCAATTCCAGACGCCTCTGTGAAATGAACAACATGGAAAAAGAATCCCCCCTCCCCGTACTATTTTGCTAGTTGGCTTCAGAATCAATTATTTACTGCAGGGGAGAGAAACCTATGGCCTCCAGCTTGCCTAAATCTGCCCCCAAGACTCAGGGCTTCTCCCTTCAGCGTTCCAGCCCATTGGACCCCCTTGAGCTAGAGTCAGGCAAGCCAGGGCTCTGCCTGGCAGGGGGAAGAAGCCGGCCGTCAACTGATTTTTCTGTGGCTCTTGACCCCCAAAATGTTCCACACATGCTTTACTGCACTAATAAAACAGATTTGCTGTCTGACGGTAGTGAGACCAGGAAGGATTTTTGTCAGCTTTTTTCCTGTCTCCTAATAGAATGGGCTGTATTTACTTGATTGGGATTTGTAAATTTCCCAAAGGAATCTTTATTCTATAATGTGATTTAATGGATCATCTAAATATAGTTTTTATCATAGACTGTAATTGCTGTGAATAAGGAAGATCATTGTCCCACATAAAACAACAGTAGGAAGGAAGAAGCCTTCAGGGCTTTGAGTTAATAAGAATTTTAAAATCCAGAATTATCCTACTTCTGACCCTCTTTTCTAAGTCAGCCTAGTTTTTTGTAACTGAGTAATTTTAAAATACCTCATCAACACAACTGAATAACTCAGCAAAGATAAATCAATTGACAGAGAAAAATCAGAAGAGGTATGCACAGTAAGAGTATGTCTACACAGCAGCATTATTTCGGAATAAGAAATAATAGTGTGTCTATACTGCCAGCCTTTATTTTGAAATAATGTTGAGCTAGAGGACTTCTTACTCTGACTCCTGTAACACTCATTTCATGAGGAGTAAGGGAAGTCGAAGAGTGTTCTTTCTTTAACTTCCTACTGCGTAGACAGCGTCAAAAGCCAAATTAAACTGTTTCAACTTCAGCTACACAATTGACGTTGCTGATGTTGCATTGCTTAATTCTACTTTTGCCCTGCTGTATAGACATGCCCTAAGTGACATATTAAATGCAAATATAAAACCATATTAAAATACTACTAGGGGCGAACACAGGACAAAACCAAGAACTGAGGCTGAGAATTGTGCCCATTTGATTTCTGCAGGGCATATGTCTGTTACAATACTGTGTAGCTACTTACCTAACTACAAATGCAAATCTGATACTGAAGTCAAAAGGCATTGAAAAGGTTTTAAGGAACTATTAAAATGTAAAGAAAAATAGATCTCCTTCCCTTGGAGGCGTTTCAAGGTGCTAACATAGTACTCCACAAATGCAGCACTCTGGTGGATGGGACGAGACAAATGCTCTACTGTCCTGCTCAATCTGTGTCCCTTTGAGTTTCACGGGGAGTAACAGTAGTTCGAACTAGGAAGCCTAGTTTGTGCCCCGTGTAGCCGCGCTGCACGGGGTTCGAACCAGCGGGGTTTTAAAAATGGCGGCTCCCCGCTTATGCAAAGGAAGCCCGGGAAATTCAAATCCCGGGCTTCATTTGCAAGAGCGGTATGCCTACATTACCCCGCTAGTTCGAACTAGCGGGGTAGTGTAGACATACCCTGAGACTGGGTTCACAGTTGGTTCTGGACAACACAACGGCCCACCACCCTGATACAGAGTCCAAGCCGGCATTCTCTGAGGACAGGTAGGCAGTGTTAGATTTTGCACATGGGAACACTAAATTTAACCAGCCCAGCACAGGATAGGCTACTCTGGCACACATGTCCCGGGCTGGGACTATCAAGACATGTGTCACAGCGTAGTTGGCCCTTGTGATACCCAGAGCCCCGGTCCCCTGGACCAGAGCAGATGACTCCAATCGAGCCAGTTAGAGGACTGGGCTACACTTGGGGCTACAAAGGGCTGCTAGTAGGCAGCTGGGGAGGATGGACAGAGACAGACAGAGGCCAGAGGACAGCAAGCCCCAGTGGAGTGGAGCTACCCGCTGGGGTGGTGGGTCCCTAGAACAAGGGAAGGACCAGAAGTGCCAAGAACTGAACTTTCTCCTAACCCTGATTTTCTCATTTACAACAGTCCCAGCCTAAGGTTTGGGGATTACTCAGTGGGTTGATCTTCAGCCACAGCCAGGAGGCAAACAGTAGCTAACAGATGTGGCAAGTCTATGGTGGGGCTACTACTCTCTGGGCATGCTCACAGATCAGCGTTGTAGCCCATTTGACTGCGTGAAGGCTATGCCCTGCAGTCCACAACCA